AGCTTCTTTCCTGTGAGAGTGACAGAGCCCTGGGACAGGCTGCCCAGAGAGGCTGTGGAGTCTCCTTCTCTGGAGACATTCAAACCCCCCTGGGTCCTGTGTGATGTGCTCTGGGTGATCCTGCTCTGGCAGGGGGGTTGGACTAGATGGTCTTTCCAGGTCCCTTCCAACCCCTAAGATTCTGTGAGGAGACATCTTGACTCCTTAAGAGTTTGGGATTGTTCCTGGCTCAGATGCATGCTGCTTCTCCTGTTTTGGTGGTGGCATCCAAATGTCCCACCTCATCCCCCCCTTGATGTCTCACTGCCAGGAGCTCACCTGCACCCCAAGGGTCTGGGCTGGGAACAGGGGGAGGTGGAGGAAAAGCCCTCTGAGGGGGCAGGATTGGTGCATCAGGACAAAACCAAGTGGTGCTGTCTCCTTTTTTTTCCTTTCTCCCAAGATCCTGAAGGATGGGGGGTTGCTGTCCCCCATCATCACGCGGCTGATGAACTTCTTTTTCTTCTCCAGAGGGTGAGTGGTGGCTCAGTGCTCCTGGGCAGAGTCCACAGGGGGGTGTGAGACAAGCAGGGAGGGGCCAAGGTAGGAATTAGCCCAGTGGGTGCTTGGCAGGTGAGCAGATCCACCAACACTGTCCCAGGAGAGATTTATCCCTGGGTTTGAATGACCTTGATCCTTGGGGCCATTCCCTCTCCAGGTTGGAAAAGTGTCTCAGTAACCAACCAGGTGGGGTTTCACTGCACACTGAAGTACTTCCTCCCACAAGGGAGGGTAGGAAGGTACTGAAGAGGGATCTGGACAAGCTGGATCCCTGGTTTGAGGCTCTGCAGAGGGACCTGGACAGGATGGATCCATGGGGTGAGGGACCTAGACAGGCTGGATCCATGGGGTGAGGCCAATTGTATGAGGTTCAACAAGGGCAAATGCCAGGCCCTGCCCTTGGGTCACAGCAACCCCCCCAACACTCCAGGCTTGGGGCAGAGCAGCTGGAAAGTGCCCGGGGGGAAAAGGACCTGGGGGTTTGGTCACCAGGGGATGGAGGTGAGCCAGAGAGTGCCCAGGTGGCCAAGGAGGCCACCAGCATCCTGGCTGGTGTCAGCACTGGGGTGGGCAGCAGGAGCAGGGCAGGGATTGTCCCCCTGTGCTGGGCACTGGGAAGGGGACACCTGGAATCCTGGGGTCAGGGCTGGGCCCCTCAGGACAAGAAGGACCTGGAGGGGCTGGAGCGTGTCCAGGGAAGGGCCCCGGAGCTGGGGAAGGGGCTGGAGCAGAAGGAGAAGGGGCTGGAGAACTTGTGAGGAGCAGCTGAGGGAGCTGGGGGTGTTGAGCCTGGAGCAAAGGAGGCTGAGGGGAGACCTTCTGGCTCTGCAGCTGCTGAGAGGAGGTTGGAGCCAGGGGGGTCGGGCTCTGCTCCCCAGGAACGAGCGACAGGACAAGAGGAAACGGCCTCAAGTTGTGCCAGGGGAGGCTGAGGTTGGATCTGGGGAACAATTCCTGCCTGGCAAGGGTTGTCAGGCTCTGGCCCAGGCTGCCCAGGGCAGGGGGGGAGTCCCCATCCCTGGAGGGGTTCAAAAAGCATGTAGATGTGGCACTTCAGGACATGGTTTAGTGCCCATGCGGGTGTTGGGTTGATGGTTGGACTCAATGATCTCAGAGGTCTTTTCCAACCTTAATTATTCCATGACCCTAAGTATCAAGACTTGCACATCTGAGGCAGTGAAACCACACACACACACTCTGCAGGTGGGGCACAATCAGCTCCTTTTATCAGATGCTGCAAACCCTCTGTTTTCCCCCAAAAAAGCCCCTTGGGCTGGGTCCACCACCAGCTGTATTTGGGGGCCGACACCTGGTGCCGCACGGGTGCGTTTTGAGCTGGAAGCTGGAGCTGCTGGAGTGTTTTATGGCCTGGGTTAGTTTTTGAGATGGACACTAAAGCTCTGAACGTCTCTGTGGCTGTTCCCCAGGCTGGGAGCAGTCTTTGGGCCCTACACACAGCCCTCACAGGCCGAGTACTGGGACATGTGGACAGCGGTGAGGACCAACGACGGCAACCTCGTCGTTGACAGGTACGTCTGTTCCTTGCTGTGGGACCTTAGTTTTGTAGCACATGGTCAGGGCTGGAAGGGACCTCTAGAGATCTTCCAGTCCTACCCCCTGCTAGAGCAGGGTCATCTGCAGTAGATCACACCGGAACGTGTCCAGGTGGGTCTGGAAAGTCTCCAGAGAAGGAGACTCCACAGCCTCCCTGGGCAGCCTGTCCCAGGGCTCTGTCACCCTCACAGCAAAGAAGTTTTCCCTCCCATTTCCATGTCACTCCCCATGTTCCAGCCTGTGCCCGTTGCCCCTCGCCCTGTCCCTGGGCACTGCTGGGCACAGTCTGGCTCCATCCTCCTGCACCCACCCTGAGACACTTGGAGGCATTAAGAAGGTCTCCCCTCAGCCTTCTCCTCTCCAGGCTGAACAGCCCCAGCTCTCCCAGCCTTTCCTCATCAGGGAGATGCTCCAACCCCCCAGTCACCTTTGTTGCCCTCCCTGGACTCTCTCCAGCAGTTCCTGTCTCTCTTGAACTGGGCAGCCCAGAACTGGTCCCAGTTCTCCAGATGGGGCCTCACCAGGGCAGAGCAGAGGGGGACAATGACCTCTCTCCACCTCCTGGCCACACTCTTCCTCATGCACCCCAGGATCCCATGGGCCTCCTTGGCCACCAGGGCACATTCCTGGCTCATGGATCATTTACCATCTACCAGGACTCCCAGATCCTTCTCCTCAGAGCTGCTCTCCAGCAGGTCCAACCCTCACCTCTACTGGTCCATGGGGTTCTTCCTCCCCAGGTGCAGGACCCTGCACTTGCCCTTGTTGAACCTCACCAGGTTCCTCTCTGCCCAGCTCTCCAGCCTGTCCAGGCCACCCACCAGTGTCCCTCTGTTCACAGAGCCACACCACAACCTGAAGGTTACTGGAGCTCAGCCAAAGTCCTGGCACACTGGCTCCCCCACAGTCTCCAGGTTCTTCTCTTGGGGTCTGAGATCATCACGGTGCCCCAAAAAAGGAGCTGGGGTGTGGTGGAGGTGCAGGAGTCCTTGCTGGGATGATGCAAGGCAGGTGAATGACCCCTGAGCCCACACATGGTGGGAGGACAACACTGAAGATCGACAGTGTGGGGGGGTTTTTTGCCTTATTTGGAAATCAGGGGCTTGAATTTACATTTTTTTGTTGACAACTGGAGCTAAATCTGCTTTTCTCCAGTTTGGGACTTTTGGAAGGACCTTGGGATGGTGGTTTTGAGTTCAGCATCCCCTTCCAGAGGGGCCTGTGTGTGTCCATCACCCCAGTGTGCCAACTCCCTCTGCCCTATCACAGGGAACAACCTCCAGGCAAATCCCAGCACACAGCAAGGACCAAAGAGCTCAGCCTCCCCAAAAAGGTCCTTGCTAATTGGCCTCTTCTAATGAGGGCTACCTGCCCAGGCTGTGCTGAAGCAAGGAGTCACCCTGAGGTGCTGGCTGGGGTGGTGAGACAAGATGAAGAGGCTTTAGCAGTTTGGATTTTCACTCTTAAAACCTGCCCAGCCCCATTTATCTTCTCCTGCATTTCCCCACGCTCAGTGGTTCAGTGATGACTCCTCTTCTGCAGGGAACTGAGATGGTTCCACAGGGTTTGGTTGCACAACTGCTTCTTGCTGTGTCACCAGAAGCAGGGAAGGGTTTGCCAAGGGGCCCTGGGGGTAACTGACCTCTTGGTGCTCGTTGCCTGCAGCCCACCATGACTTACTGCACTCCCCCTTCCCAACCCAGTGGCATTTGACTGGGAGCAGAGGACCCACATTTCAGAGAATCCCAGAATTATTGAGGCTGGAAAAGACCTCGGAGATCATCAAGTCCAGCCTATGACCTGACACCACCACATCAGCCAGACCAGGGCACCAAGTGCCACATCCAGCCTGTCCTTGAACACCTCCAGGGATGGTGCCTCCACCACTTCCCTGGGCAGCCCATCCCAAGGTCTGAGCACCCTTTCCATGAGGAAGTGCTTCCTGATATCCAACCTAAGCCTCCCCTGGAGCAGCTTCAGGCCAGGCCCTCTTGTCCTGTCCCTGGTTGCCTGGAAAAAGAGCCCAACAACACCTGCCTCCAACCTCCCTTCAGGTGGTTGTAGAGAGTGAGAAGGTCCCTCCTGAGCCTCCTCCAGGCTGACCAAGCCCAGCGCCCTCAGCCTCTTCTCATCAGCCTTCCCCTCCAGTCCCTTCCCCATCCTTGTTGCTCTCCCCTGGACCTGCTCCAGCTTCCAGCTCAGCTAGAAAGGATTCAAACCTCATCCTCCCACCCTCCTGGACTATTGTCATGGTCCCAACCTCATTTACACTTCTATGATCATTAAAACACCCACCTGAAGCTGAAGCCAGGTCAGCAGGCTGGTCTTCTGTTGCTGCTGCCCCAAGGAGGTGGCCTGTGGGAGATGCAGGTCCCACCTGCTGCTTGACCACAGGTTTCTCTTCAGCATTTTGCAGTACATCAACCAGAGGAAGAAGCACCGAGACCGCTGGGTTGGGGCTTTGGTGTCCACCTCTGTCCCACGTGAGTAGGAATCCTTTGTCCTTTCATTTCCAGCTTGGGGTGTTGGGAATTGTCCCCCTCATCTGCAGGCCCTGGAGAGAGGTGCTGGCTCCTTCCACCAATCCCTGGAGCTTCTCGTTATTCTGAGGAGGAGAATGTGGCTCAAATCCAGTTTGGGCAGAGGGAGCTTTAAGGCTGAGATAGAGTGAAGAGCTGGGAGCTCAAGAGGAAGAAGTTTGTTCCATTGAGGTCATTCTCCTTCATGCTGGTTCACAATCTCCAGCTTCTCCAGGGAAGCTGAGCTGCTTTTCCAGCTCAAGAGAAGTTGCAGCCCACTTTGAAGAATGGTCTGGTGGTTGCAGGAGGAGAGTTGGAGGCTGCACTTGACCCCAGGGCAGAGAAGCAAGAGCCCCTTCTGGCTGCTGGTTTTGCTCAGTGCTCTGCTGGGAGCTTCCCAAGCTCTGTGTGAGGGGGGGAAAGAGCCTCCAGATGGTCTCCTTGGCTTAGTTTGAGATGTTTTTGAGTATCAAAAGCTCTGTCTGTGCTCCTCCCTTGCAGTGCATCTCATCTACGGGCCCCTGGACCCTGTGAATCCACACCCTGAGTTTCTGCAGCTTTACAGGTAAGACCAAACCTACCAAAAAAAGTGGGAATATGCAACTGGGGCTCTGGTTGTCTCAGATTTTCCTTCCAATTCCTTTTCCACAGAGGCTGTTTTTAATTCCCACCCTTGACCTGCACAGCCAGGTGATTCAGTTGGAGCCTCCTGCAGTCTGGAATTGCTTCCCCATTTTAGGCATCAAAGTCAACACTTCCCAGTCCAACCAATCACTCATTTTTTACAAACCACCTCAGACAGAGCTAAGATTAATTGGCTGAGGTTGTCCTCTCCTCCAAAGTAACCTGAAGTAAATCCAGCACTTGGGAGAGTGGTCCAACTGTAGCTGCTACAGGCTTTTTTTTCTTGTTGTTTGGCTCAAAACCACATGAATGGGGAGAATCCCAGCTGTGCCACAGGGTGCTGTCCTCCTCTCTGGTGGCATCTGGCTGGCTGTGGGCTGAGCCTGCTGCAGTTCCCTGTGCTCAAGGCTGCATTCTTCCAACAGGAAGGTGCTTCCCATGTCCACAGTGTCTGTGCTGGATGACCACATCAGCCACTACCCACAGCTGGAGGATCCCACAGGCTTCCTGAATGCCTACCTGAACTTCATCAACTCCTTCTGAGCTGCTGCAGCTCAGGTCTCACTCTCTCTTCATGAGTCAGGCTTTGGGGGCAGGAAGAAACCTTTGATTTTTATCTCCAGGCCCAACACTTTCCACTAAACACCCTCATCTTTGCCTGTCAAAGGTTCCTGCAGATAACTCCTTTGAGCACCAGAAAAAGATGAGCCAGCAGGGAGGCTTGGACAAAACCATCAACCTGAGTACCAAGATACTGGCAGCTCTTCCAGCCCTGCTCTCATCTTGCTTCCTGACTGGCTGGTCTCCATATTTAGAGCCAGGAGGGCAACAGGGACACCCTGAGGGGAAGCAGAGCAGGTCTGTCAGTCCAAGAGGCCTCCCTGGCCTTCACTGCCAGGCCACAGGAAGACAGGACCTCTGGAATATTCCCAAGATGGATTTGGTCTGGGTTTTGAGTTCAAATAACATCCAGTGTTAACAACACCTGGCCAGCCTGTCAGCACTAAAGATTTTGAGTTTGCCTGAAGGCAAGAGAGCTCAATATCCCAACTAATCCCTCAAAATACAGGCAACAGCACCCAAAAAGGGGGTTATAAACACTAATTATGTCTTCACTAATCACTTTTGAATGGCTGGTTACTCAAAGGTAAGCTCTAAACCTCTTTCTTTTTTTTTTTTAACCACATCACTTGTTTCTCCAAGTTTAAGTTCACCAAGCAGTGCTGCTCACTCTCACTACCCCCTGGGACTATCTCAGGAGCTCCTGTTGCCCTGGAGCAAGGAGATTGCCCAATATTGGCACCAGGAAAAGCCAAAGTGTTCCAAGCAATAGCTATTCCAGCCACAGGGATCTGGGAGAGATGTTTAAAATTAGCATTAAAATACTACTCCTTTCTTCCTCCCCCCCCCCACCCCGACTTGATAAACTAAAGAAACATCAGCAGAGAGATGCAGAACTTCCCTCTCCCAGGGAAACCAACCACAAAGTCCCTCCTTCCTCCTCTCTTCTCAACTTTTGATACAGGATGTTTCACATCCCTGAGGCCAGGAAAAGGCTGCAGTGTTGTTTGGTATTTCCTGACATAAGGCTCAGAGAACTGAATATGCCCTGACAGGTGAATTTTAATGTCTCTTTGTACATTGATTTTTTTTGTGTGTGTGTGGAACAGAGGAGAGGGGAGCATCAAGGAATTGTAAAGTTGCAGACTCTGCAGTTTTGGGGTGATTTTTAACTTCTTATGTTTGAAATTTCATAATATCCCTTTAGGACTAAGAGGAAACAGCCCTGAGGGGCTACTTTTTTCTGTACTGAAGCAGAGAGAATCAGAACAAGAAATTTCTATTTTATTAACAGCAATGGATACAAATTCCACCACTTGGACCAGTGTTTATTTTCTGTTAATAAAAATCAGTTTTGACAAAAGTCTGATTCCATTTTCCTACCACCTGCATCTTTCAGCTTCCCTGCTCTCCTTGCAAGTAGCCAGAGATGCAATAAGTTAGATGGGAATGTGTAAGTGACAAGGAGGAGGGAAAGGGGAGAAGGGAAAGGCTCAGAACCAGCCAGCCACTATTGCCACTACTTGGAACATCATACAAAATATTTAACCAAAGTGAGGAATAAAAACTACATGCAGAGGGACAGACAGGCTGAGAGCTGGGAAATACCCAACCAGTGCTGGCCAAAGGAAGTTTCCATCAGTTGATGTCACACTCAGCCCACAGAAGCCAGGATGACATCTACAGGTGTTTCTTCTTTGCTCCTGACTGTCACCTGCATGGTCACACCATCTCCAAGAGCCAGTCTGGACCTCACCAGCACGTCACAGCCACCTCTGTACACACCTGGGGACAAAGGGACATTTGAGAGATGACTGGGAGAGAGGGGCTTGGTGATCTAGGCCTCACCCAGGAGCCAACAACCTGGTGTATGATTCAGTCTATGGCCAGTTGCAGAAAGGGGGGGGAACAGCAAAAATATAACAAAACCTCCAAATCCTCTAAACTCTTGAGAGCAGACTGTCCTAATTAAACAACCAGCAAGTGCTGCTGGAGGACTAGGATGATTTAAAGAGAAGGCTCCAGTGAGCACAGCCACTAAACAAGGAGTTGTGAGGACTGTCAGCCAATTCAGGGTGTGTCTTGAGTGACAGGAACCTGAAAACAAGATGGTCCTGGGGGCCACCCTTCTGAGCTAACAACAGGCAAGGAATTTAATCAGGTGTCTGCTCTGGAAGTTCTTCATTCAAAGGATTCACTGCCACCTCCATAGGTGGAACATCTCTGTTCTTTGAGGGACACAGCCCAGCCTAAGCAGCACTTGGAACAGCAAGCTCCAAATCAGCACTTGCTGCCTTCAACTCACTGCTTCACACACTTGGAACAGCAAGCAGCACTTGCTGCCTTCAACTCACTGCTTCACTTCACTTTTCTGTAAAGAAAAACTTTCAAAACAAGAGCAGAATCTCTTAAACCACTTCCCTTCTTTTAGTAAAACTCCTTGTGGGGCCATGGAAACATGGAGCTCAATGAATACTCACCAGCTAAGTAGAGTGTGTGAGAATTTTTGTTCTCTGGCACTTTGTCTGACCTCTCACAGGGCTGCATGCCCAGGAACTTGATGATGTTATTGACAGCTTCTGCAGTTAGAGATTGAGGAAGAAAAGTTATCCCCAGGTTGGTGCCAAGCTTCCTGTGAGAACTAGTTTGCAACTAAAGAACACACACTAAGTGTCTGAAGTGTTAAAGTACCCAATGGCTTAACCATTCCCATGATCATCTTCCTTTCAGCCCCACCAAAACATCTACCTTGCCATGTCCCTTCTGGTGTCTTGGCAGCCTAGGAACACACCACTCCCTTCCACCAGCCTCAAGCAAGTGAGCACTGCCAGATTTCCCACTAACCCCAGCACTGCAACACAAATTGCTGGGACCTGTCATGTTGAAAGGCCTCAAGTTCTCCTCCTACCACACCAAATATAACCCCAGCTTGGCAGATTTCCTGGGATTCCTCTGTGGATCACCAATAAATGAGGAGATCATCTCACCATCAAGGGTTTTAATGGAACTAAGTGCAAAGGTTTCTTCTTTCTCAAAGTCATCTCCCACTTCTTCCCAGGCAGCTGCAAAGTTGGGCTTTAAAACCTTCTGAATGTGGTCAGACACAGTCACCTCCAAATCTTCCAGCTGACAGAAAAGCAAGGGAGATGTTCAGCTGCCAGTTACAGAAACAATCCTAAGCTTAGAAATGAAAACCAGGAGAGACAGTAGCACTTGGCCCAGACAACCTTGGTGTGCCTGGCTTTAACTTCAGGAGAAGCACATGGTAAGAGCATCTAAAAAGCAGAGAGGGGAAATGGTATTTATGGTGATTATCTGGAAAGCTTAACACTGACAGGAAAATATCAGTGAGACTAAAGGAGAGCAGAAAATGGGGCAACTACTTTATGAGTCAAAGCCCATTCTAGCCCTTACTGGGCATTCAAGGAGAGATCCTTTCTCAGAACTCACAAGGAGCTTTTCCTTCCTCCAAGCCCAACAAACAAGCACTTTCCTGAGACCTGACTTGTTCTTTTCAGTGATTAACACAAAATACACAGAAGTGCAAATGCTTGGGGTGGAGAGAAAGACTGGGCCCCAGTTCTGATAAAAGCCAATGGAAGTTATTCCCTTCTGTCTCCACAAATCCTGTCTCCACAGGGCATGAAAGTATTGGCAAGATTTTGGGGAAAGATCTTAAGTTATGAGCTGCCATATTTTGGAAATGGGAATTTTGAAACAAGCCTGCCTTTCTCTCCTCCTGGCTTCAGATCTGAAAGGAAACCACTAACCCAGAGGCCACGTGTATTCAGCATTAGTGACAAGGAAACAAACAAACAAAGAAGCCCCCAACAATCCTGAACTTACCACATATTCATCATCATAACCATCTTCTTCTGGCACACCTGTGTTTGGGTCACAGTCTCGAACAGTGAACTTCATTGTGCAACTGAAAGTACAAGCAACTGGGGAGGAGAAGGGGTTAGTGGTAGTTTCTTCTGCCTTCTGCTGGAAAGAAGGTGTATGAGTTTTACCCCAGAAGATTCAACCTGGTTGTAGTCAAAGCATTTTCAGCTTCCCATAAAATTCCCCTCCAGACTCCAAGATGAAGGCCAGAAGAGGGATCAAAGGGGAGTAATATGCCAGGGCTGGGGTCTAACAAGCACAGGTCCACTGCAAAGTCCTGCAGGGGGATCCAGTTGTACTCCCAGGAAAAACTTCTGCAAGGGTTTCTGACAAGTGGATTATGATCCAAAACCACAGCTGAAGGAATTCAGACTGCTCCTCATTTTCCCTTAAAGCAATAACCAGCAGAGTGGTCTGCTGATGAGCTCAGTCATGTCACAACAACTGCAACTCCAGTAGGGATTCTATTAAGTGTGAATAATAAAAGCAAGAAAGGGAAGTTTTATGCCCAAAAAACCCTCTCATTCCTAAATTTAGTTCTAATTCTCTACTGAGAGGGAAAATTGCATTAGTCAAACACATAGAGGCTCAAGCTATTATTTCTTTGTTGTTTACATTTTCCATTTCCTAATTGTTGAATAACAACAAACATCCACGTTTTCAAATATCCTGCTTCACTGATCCAAGCTAGTAAATCCAGTTTCCTCTATTACCTGCCTGCCCACCAGTCCTCTTTAACATCCCAGTTTTGATCCTCCAACACCACTGGTGAGTTAAGAAGTGTATCTATCATTTTGCACAAGCACAGGTTCCACATAAAAACCAGCCCATATGAGACATGAGAAAGAATCAGCGCTAGAACCTCAGTATGAACTCACCAAATCCCACACCCTACATATTATCTGCTTCCCAAGTACTTGGTTTGAAGGATCTGTAGGGCAGAACAACTCCCTCCCAGTGGGTACCTGCAGTGGGATCATCCTGAGGGATCTGGACCAGGGTGTAACACATGCCTGGCTGGTTGTAAGCCAGGCCGGGTGCTGGGATGCAACAGATCACATCGTAAGCGTCCGACGGCTCCATCTGCACCGTGACCCTCTCCAACAACTGATCATTTAATGTGTTTGTGCAATCAAACTGCAGGAAAGGAAACCAAGGAGGACTTGAACATGGAAGAAATAATAAAGAATCTTCCCTCAAATCAGCTACAACACTCCTCAGCACACAGCTGACACCCCACATCTTTGATCAATCTGGTAGTTCTCACTGAACAGCTTTTCTCTCCAATGTTAATACAATTCACAGCATCACAGAATGGTTTGGGTTGGAAGGACCTTAAAGATCATCTAGATCCAACCCCCTGCATGGGCAGGGACACCTCCCACCAGACCAGGCTGCTCCAAGCCCCGTCCAACCTGCCCTTCAACACTGCCAGGGATGGG